TATTTACATAAAGATCTAGTAATTTGAACAGATAAATTTGATTCTGGTAGACAAAAGAACAGTGGTTGCCTTTGGGAGGGTGGAGTGGGGTCAAGGATTGACTAGAAAGGGCCAAAGGGGGATTTTCTGATAACATTTTATATTTTGATAGCACTGTATGCATTTTGCAACACTAAGAGATGCACACTTAAGATTTATGCACTTCATTGTATGCTAATTTTACATAAAAAATGTGGTAAGCACATACTGAGCTCTGTTAATGGTATGTATGCTGCAGTTATTAGTAGGAAAAGTGAAGATGCCTGCAATTGGATGAACTGATGGATGGATATGTGATAATGCAAGCAGAGTTAATGCTAACTAGCGATTGATACACTGTAAAATTTTAACTTTTTTAATATGTTTTAAAATTTTTATAAAATGTTGGAAGAAAAATTCCAGGGTGCAACACTTACCAAATAATGCCACTGAGAATTATATTATTGATCTCATGGCAAGATAATTATCAAATTCTTCTGATTAGTATCAATTTAGAAACTTAAGAGCTTGTGAGAAGATATTCCTGAGTGTGAGGTGACCAATCAGCTCTCAAATCTATACTGGCTCAAAACTGTCAGTTACATTTTGATCCCCTCACACCTTTAAAAAATACACAGATTAATCACTTATTTTCAACAAATTTGTTGGCTGTGTAATGTAAGAGCTAAGATGAAGAAACATTCTTAAGAGAAACATCAAGCACAGAAATTTTTACCTGACTTCTAAAGAAGAACTATGCAACTATAATAAAAGATGTGTAGACCCAAAACACGAGGTGAGGTTTGATCAGACTGCACAGGCCCCTATGTTCTGAGTGGAAGGACATCTGAATTATCCTGTCTCTCCAAGGAGGGACTCATTTGGGGGCAACCTAAAGTGATGGCATGTTACTTATAAATACTTCTAAGGTGACTCCTTGAGATTCACTAAGACTGGCTTCAGACTTCAATCGTCCTTTGTCAGTTTTCCACATGTCTGACTTAAAATCCATTAACAACACTGTGCTTATTATTTAGTGGCTGGTAACTATCTTCAGTTATTTGCTAAGAATTTCTATATAACTATATAGGGATTATATATATATATATATATATATATATATAGCACCTCCTAAGAGTTCTCTAAAAAATAATCTTTAAAAATTTTACTCATTGCTTTCAAAATATTTAGTCACAGTTCTGGCTTTCCTTTGATCTCTAAGTGCGTCATGTTCTAGTACAGGCTCTGCTTTTCTTGAAGCACATAGATTAGTGTTGTAAAGTTTTCAAGTTTGCTTTAAAACACTGCAGTCATGTTATTTAGGATCATATCTACAAACCTTTTTCAGTCTTAAAACATTCCCCTGTATTTATGCTATTTCACAGAGCATCCCTAGTTCTAGCAGTCTATTACAGGACCAGTCTTTGTTATTATCACTGCTCAAGTTTATCAAGACTGCTCTTCTCTAACCATAACAGTACTAATGGTAGTCTCAAGTCATGCCTGTTAATTATTAGGATACTTTTAACAGCTTTGTGCTTTTGTTGTTTCCACCAGCTGGTGCTGACTCTCTGAGATCCACTCTGAGTATGACTTTTACTTACTTATTTATTAATGGCACTGTGTCATGTCCTGTCACCCTCAAAGTAGAAGATACTCCTCACTTGTCTTCCATCTCGCTGGTCTATCATCCTGCCATAAAAGAGTTAATCTGTCAGATTTAAAAGTCTTGTTATTTACTAATGAGCTCACCGACTCCACCCTTAGTATTTCCAGTATGTAATTCTGAATGTACGGGAAATGGAGCTCAGAGAGGTGAGCACAGTGCCATTTCCCCCATGACCCTATGCTCGTCATCTGAGACAAGAGTGACATTAAAGAATGTTCTATTTTCTATTCTGAAAAGATAATTATAATAATAATTCCTTCCACTTTGGATAATATTGTAGTTTTCAACACATTCTTAAATATGATTGTATTTACAAACCCAGAGAAGTTTAGTCATTTTTACAAAGGTCAGTAAATGGCAAAGCCAGATTTTGAGTCAGATATTCAAACTCCAAACTCTTTCCATTATATTCACTACAGTTCTTACTTTAGCTTTTTTATGATCTTTATTATGCTTGCCATTATTTATGCTTCTTAGCTAAACCTAGACGTTTCTATAGCATACACTGAAGACACATAATGTCAGATGTTAAATCAATACTTAATTTTGCCTCATCGAGGTATTTGTTGCCCTCCATACCAGAAGTATATTTTCCACTTCCAAATGAAGTTGTTTATTTTCAGAACTGAAAGTAAACACTGATAAGTTTACTAATTAGGTAACTGGTCAGATATGTTCTAGCCTATCTTCTTAATTCTAGGGAATTTTTCCTTTGGGGGTTTAACCAAAGATATCTCAACCAGGTAACTCTTGTCACTGATGATATTTACTGATGTTAGTTTCCCATACCATTTTCAATACGTTAAGGATGTGGAGGACTTCAGCAACCACAGCATGTTTAGTTCTTAGGAACCACAGTTTTTTACTATGGTCCTGTGAGGATGGGAAGAGTACACAGCAATATCCAATCTCTCTGGCAAGGAACTTAAATGTAGTAGAGAATTCTGAGTTCTTCCTCCAACTGTAGGCCCTACAGTGAGTTATGTTCAGCTAATCTCACAATAATGCCATTGGTTACAACAGGTTTACAACAGAGAGTATGGTTTGCTCAGCACTATCAGAATGTAATCATCATGTTCACCTTAAAGAGTATGCCACCAACAATAACAACAAACTAAACAGCACACCCCATATTTCAACTGACAGGTAATGAAACAACACATTAATATTAGTTAACACTCAGGAGCGCTAGCCAATTTAAATGCCTACAGAGTGACAGTAGTATCCAAACTTCTACACAGTAATGAAGCCTAAACCTGCCATCAACATCCTGGCTGGCGGACTGAGCAGTTTCATCACCATCATCAATGAGTCATCCTAGCAGAATAAGGTGGACAACAATGAGGATTGGAATGAAGTTAATTTTATCTGAAATAAAGTTACCATCTTTGCATCTTAACTCTGCTGGGCCAGACGTGTGAAGAACAGATGTCAAAACTGTTATATACTGAGCTTAAAAAGGAGCAAATATACAGTAAGAAGGCAAGAGGAAAAAAAAATCCCCCAAACAAGAACGAACAAATAAAAAACAAAATAAAACTAGCCCAATTAACACTTCAAGAATTCCCTGAGATGAGCTAAAGTAATGTAGAAAGTTGTGGCATATACCAATAATGGCAGATAGAAATGACGGTTCTTTTTCCATTTGTGGGCCAACATTAATTCATGATGTACAAAGAACTCGTGCTTTCAAACAGACTGCAGTCACTTCCTTCACATGTACTCTAAGTAAACTCTAATGCTATGAAAAAAAAACACATTAGGGCACTGTTGGGTTTTCAGTCATCACTGTATGTATACATACAGATAAACATATTTAAAAGTAGCAGCAAATTTACAAATGAAGAGCAACAGTATTCTGTCAAAAGCATATTCAGTTTCATCTGAAATCCTCAAATTACAAATAACATTTCCAGATGATGCCTTATTTTACTCTTGCTATAGGCTGGATAGCTTAAGGCATATTAAAAATTAACTCACTGGACAATAAGTAGTCAAGCTGATGATAAAACTAAGAGTCCCATTACTTACAGTGCAGTTCCTTTCTAGCAAAGTCTTAATAAAAACATTCTTACTATTCTGAAATTCAAAATAGATATTGAGTGTAGCTAAATATCTATATTACCTAATATGTAAGTATCTAAAATACCAAATGACTTCCTTATGAGTAGATTAATTGATGAGTCAGTCATAATTTTAGGAAATATATTTAAAACACACTTCAGACTAAAAAACAGGGAATTATTACTAATGCCTACAACAGACCATTCACATACAGAGGAAGTGAGCAACTATGAGCAAAAGGCTGGGAACAGGAGAGTCCCACAAGATCCCTTCCCTCAACAGAGATTATAATGTAGCAGGCACAGACATCAATAAACAATTGTAGCGTGTGGTTAGCACCATTATGAAAACTGAAATGAAGAATCACAAAAGTTCATACTCAGAAGTCCTAAAAGACTGAGAAGATATCAAATATAGAAGGAATTTCCAGAATGTTCTCAGAAGCAGTGGCAACATAAGAACAAAGGGAGCAATCAGGTGTTGCTCCCAGATTTTCTGGCATGTTTGACTAGAAAAAAATTAACCAAAATTGCTCAGAGAGAAGAAAAGTGAAAAATAGGATGACTTCAACTAGGCTGTAATGTTAAGTAGGTAGTTGAAAGTATGGGTCTGAAATTTCGGACCAGATATGGAACACAATACACTGGGATAAAATAGAAACCCCAAGGATGAGATCCCTCCAGAAGCATTCTGAAGACAGAATCTGAGAGTGCATTTTAGTAGATACACTTTAATTAAGAGTTATGTGACTGCACTCAACAGTTATGGCAGAGGATGACATCTTCAAGGGACAAGACACCATCTAGGAAAGGTTGCTCAATGGTGTAAATGTTGCAGAGACAGAGAAAGATAAGGAATGCATACCAAAAGAAACAATTCATCAATTCAGTAACTGAGAGCCCACTGAGAAGAGTTTCACTGAAGTGGCTGTGTAAAACCAGATTGCAAGGTGGTGAACAGTGAGCAATGAGGATGCAGGGGGAATGGATATGGATTTCTCCAAGAGGTCTGACAGTGAAGAAGGCTGGAGAAACCAGCAAGTTCAGCGGAAGTTTTTTGCATTGGAGGATACATGAACATTTTTGTGGACATGAGAAAGGAACCAGCATACAATTCTTTGCATAATTTTGTATTGATCACAGACTAAAAAATTTTTAATTTTTTTCAAAAACATTTTCTGAAATAAAAACACAAAAAATACGTACTTTACCATTTAAACTTAATATAAACTTAAAAGCATTAACATTTTATAAATTTTATTTCTAAAAGAGTTGTACAATTTTTGTTATTAGACTGCTTCAGAATTTTGCTTCTAGTCTATCATGAGAAATTAAATTTTATTAACATTTGCTATTTTCATTCCAGAAAAGATTCCTCTGATATAAAGGATTACACTTAAGTAATTATGTATGCCTTCTTCCCCAACCCTCCTCCCCAAAGACAAAATATCTTCAGGGTAGTTAATAATTTGGATATTTTTCAACTTGAAGAAGAAAACAGTTAGAAATAGTATTCCATTATTTTTAAGTTCTTTAAGATCTAAATTGCTCTTCACAATTATTTTTCATAATTAAACATGCTTATTACATACACATGCTTACATATGAATTTCCTGGCTAAAACACATGCAACCAACATGAAAAAACAAGTATTAAACCATCCTCACAATCCTAAGAATGCCCTTTGCAATAAGGCACTCATGTCTGGAAATAGGATATAACCACCATATTAAATAAGATGTTTAAAAGAAGCCTTTTATTAAGCACAAACAACTTTTAATACATTATCAATACAAATAGGAAAATGTCTTTTAATGAATATATCAAAGATCTGAAGGTTTTCTTCATACTGACACAATAAAAATAATCAATTTTGAAGAAGAATTACAAAGTAAATTTTTTGAGTACACCACTGTCTACTAATAACAATTTAACTATAGTCTAAATTTACTACATCACCTGGGGAGGAAGGTCAACCATTTTTTTATATAGAGAATTCCTAAACTCTTATTAGCACCATTCAAAGCTTATTATCAGTTGTTCATCTACAAATTGACAGGTCAGGTAAAGCTTTAAAGCAAGTTTTCAGTGCAATGTTTACAGTTCCTTCTTTTAAGATACTTGGAGTCTATGGTCTCAAAGCAAGTTAAATAATGATGCCTTGGTAGTTGCAAGGTGTTAACATGTAGAAAGAAATGGAAAATGGAAAAAAATGAGGCTTATCCTGGCTGTGAAATGTATCTTAATGTATTGCGGCTAATGCTGTAGTATGCCAACGACATGCGGGATTATAAACTGCAGATTTGTGGGAAGCTGGTAGCTATTAGCTCTCTGTGGTCATCATTTCGGGATGTCTCAGCTGCTGCCTTTTGAGACTAACCAGTTTCATCCTGTCTCTGATGTGTTCTGCAGTGGAAGCCATGTCACTTGGACTCCCAAAATATTGTTCAGTTCTAAAAATCAAAACAAACAGAAAAACCATAATCAGATTAAGAGAAATCCACTGACCACAGCAAATGCAAAAGGGAGCAAAGATTACCATAAATATTATATACATGATATAGCATTAGTTCACTTGCAGACCATACTGCTTATCTTTGAGTAGTAATTCAGTGGGAGAAACATTTTTAAATGGCATAAAATATATTAAGACATGTTGAGAAAAAAACATTAGTGGTATTAAATGTCGTATCATATGTACTTATGATAATCTCAACAGATCAAAAATGCAACCAAACAATGACACAACAAAGGAAACAATACAACATTGGAGATACTCTGCTTTTCAGTTTTGGGTGCATAAGCACACACAAATATAAAATTTGTATGTGTTCTTCAAGGATAAGGGCTATGTACACCAAATGTCTAATATAGCTGGCAAGTAAAATATCTGATTAATGTTAAGGCATCATTTGGGACTTTAACAGATAAAATCATTTAATGTTATCCTACTTGAAAAGATACTGTATTCAGAGTCACAGAATCTTTTAGAGCTAGAAGAGTTCTTAAAATTATCTGGTTAAGCTCTGTATTTTTTAAGATCAGAAAACTAAGGCCTAGAAAATTAAATGACTTAACTAGGATCACACAGTGGGAAAACCAACATTTGAACCAGTGTCTTCAAGCAATGAATCCAGAGAGATCATCTAATTTCTTTTATTTTTCCAGGACAATATTACATAAGATAAATCTGAATAAGCTTGCTGTCAAACTTTATATAGCATCAACAGGTTATCATATAGATGGAACAGAATAACAATTCCAAAAATTAAAGGTGGTGGTTGTGAAATCTGAATATACAGTACTAACTTATTCCTCAATCTTAAAAACATGAGGAAATGCTATATGGACTATTTGTAGGACACAGGAGGAGAACTCCCAGCAAAAATACTTGTTATAGATGCTCCTAGGCTGACCTGAGTAGAATGGAGATGGTGTTAACAACTGGTTATGAAGCATAGAAATGGGGGTGGGGACTCCCTAGAATGGAACAACCAGAAGGCACCCCTCTTACATTGTTACAAGCCAAATTTATAATTTTTTAGATTTTATTCTTTTATACACTGCAGATATCTAATATGAATTTAGGCTACTTCTGATGGTTCAATTTTGGCTATGACCAAAGATTATCTAAATGAAGACTATGAATTATATTCTTTCAAGGGAATAAAATTGTATCTTCCCAAAATCAATTCCAAATAATCATTTGAGGTTCATGACATAGTAGTAGTGGCACTTATTATGTGTCAGATTGGGGTTTTTTGTTTTTTCTTTTTTTTAAGATTTTATTTATTATAGAGAGAGAGTACAAGTGGGAGGAGGAGCAGTGAGAGAATCTCGAGCAGGCTCTGCGCCCAGCACAGAGCCAGACTTTGGGCTGGATCCCACAACCCCGGAGATCATGACCTGAGCTGAAACGAAGAGTATAACACTCAACCAACTGAGCCACCTAGGCGCCCCTGTGCCAGATTCGTTTTAAGTAATTTATATACATTTAGCTCATGTAATTCCCCTGCCCCTGTAACCTGAAAAGGTATGAATAATATGTCCCTATTTTTAGATGACGGAATTGAGGCACAAAAAGGCTGAGTGGCTTGCCCAAGGTGTTACAGCTAGTAATGGTGGAGTTGAGATTTAAACCCAAGAAATGTGATTCCAGAGTCCACAATCCTATCCATTACACTATACTACAGAGTAAGGATAGATGCATCCAATGATTGGTTTCTCTGTCATCTGAATTAAATATCCTCTGGATTACCTCTAAATTATTTTCACTGAGGTTGAGATCCTCAGGGATGAAGCTCCTTCAGATTCATTTACTGGTCCCTTTATTTGCATGAGATTACTTCTTATTTTATTATTAACTTTTGAAATGGAAAGGAATGTGGGAATCAGGACCCCATCATTTTACAAATGAAGGAATTCAGACCCCATATAGCATAGAGAAAAAAGAATGCGTTCGGAGTTGGACCAACCTGAGACTGTATCCCAATTCTACTTAGAAGCTGTGAAATCCTGAGCACCTCACTTAATCTTTCTGAGCTTCAGGTTTCTACATCTGTAAATCAGGAATAATCATACTGGTCTAGCACTGTTTGGTCAAAAATAATGAGGTGAAGTGTTTAACTTGATGTCTGATATATTATAAGCTCACTAAACATTACACCCCGGCACTCCCCTTCCCTGCCCCGGATGAAGCCCAGAGGCATCCTATTCCCTACCATCAGAGCCAAGGCTAGAACCCAGGATATCAACCTTCTACAACAAGCTGTCAAGAAGCACCATATTTGACAGGAGCAAGTACCAACTGTTACTGTTGCTAAGAGCTCAGTTTGTATTTCTTTTCATTACAAACCAATTTATTGTGGAACTGAAGATGTGAACCAAAGCTAATTTACTTGGCTTTTTAAAAAACAGATTTTCCTCTCTTGATTTCACTTTAAGACCTCACCAATAAAAAGACAAAATTATAAGAACATGTACCATACCCATCAGGATAAACTACAGGAACAGTTAATCTATCCAAAAGTGATTTCCCAACTGCTTCAATTTCATCAAATTGCTCCTCATCATTAATAGCTTCAGGCTCTTCTGGACAGTCTTGCAAAATCTGCAACAAATAAAATGGCAACATCAATCAAGAGATATAGAAAATCAAGTTCATGTGAATTCAGCAGATTGAAAGTATTTTTGTTTTGTTCTTAGCATCTCCATGTACACCACTGTACAAGATTGATTACCGGTGAAGTTGGCTCAAAAAACTCAAATAAAATGAAATACATAATCCTTACTAATAATATATAATTGGAGTACAAAAAGTCTATAGTGATTTCCAAGAAAAAAATAATACTAGACTACTATTCAGAAAGTAAGTTCAAACTGTGCTTAAGAAATATTCCTTCCTTCCTTCATTATTTATTGTACTAAATGTTTATTTAGCAGCTTGGGATGTGACTGAGATACAGAATTTGACCTCAAACAGCTTACAGATGTCGAAAATGAAAGAAAATATAAATCCAAAACAACATATACTCAGAGTACAAACACATAACTGATGGGATGACCTATATAGGCACTTTACAGTTATTTTAAAAACTGATCTGCTGACTTACCTGAGGTAAACTGATAAGATTATAATTCAAATACAGGAAGTTCTACAGTCCTTGATAAAATACTATTTTCCTTAACTATAACCATTTAAATTTAACAAGGGGAGGAGAGGAAGAAAGAAACTGCTATAATTCATAATAGCTATAAGTCTATAGGTATTGACCCACACTAGTCAATATAGTAGCAAGCCTAGTGAACACTTGAAAGGTGGCTAGTCCAAATTGAGATGTGCTATAAGTCCAAGATACACATTAGATTATAAGAAAAAAACTGCAAAATGTGGGGAAGGGAGAAGAAAAAGAAGTATTTATTTTTGCAACTATTTTTGCATTATACTTAATCTAATCTGTTTATTTCAGCATTACTCATAAATAACTTTATATAAAATTCTAGATTCAACTTAAATATTTTCCCAGTCATTATACTCTATAAGTTGCTTATAGTTATTATGATTATGCTTACCGGTATAAAACAAAACGCAATAAAGAAGAAAATATCTGATAACAAAAAGCTTTACAAAGGTTTGAGCAGTAAAGAACCTTAAATTGTGCTAATTATAAGCAGGATAAAGGCCATGTAGCAGAAGAAAAAGGAACATTAATATTCTATGGAAAAAGGGCGCCTGGGTGGCTCAGTCGTTAAGTGTCTGCCTTCGGCTCAGGTCGTGATCCCGGGGTCCTGGGATCGAGTCCCACATCGGGCTCCCTGCTCGGCAGGAAGCCTGCTTCTCCCTCTCCCACTGCCCCTGCTTGTGTTCCCTCTCTCTCTGTCTCTCTGTCAAATAAATAAAATTTTTAAAAAAAAAAAAATTCTATGCAAAAAAACTCTCAATCATTTACATTCTTATATGGCCTCATAAAAAAAGTCTAGATCTTAAAATCTCCTTGCAGATACATTTTATTTTAAGTTTTTACTTAAATTCCAGTTAACATACAGTTTAATTAGTTTCAGGTGTACAATACAGTGATTCATCACTGACATAGGCTCACAACAAGTGCCCTCCTTAATCCCATCACCTATTAACCCATCGCCCACTCACCTCCCCTCTGATAACATCTCTGTTCTCTATAGTTAAGTCTGTTTCTTGGTTTGCCTCTCTTTTTTTCCCCTTTGCTCATTTGTTTTGTTTCTTAAATTCCACATGAGTAAAATCATATGGTATTTATCTTTCTCTGACTTATTTCACTTAGCATAATACCTTCTAGTTCCATACATGTGGTGGCCAAATGGCAAGATTTAATTTTTTTTATAGCTGAATAATATTCCATTGTGTATATACCGCACATTTTTCTTCATCTATTCATCTATGGATGGACACTTGGGCTGCTTCCATAACTTGGGTTACTGTAGATAATGCTGTTATCAACATCAGGGTGCATACATCACTTTGAATTAGTATTTTTGTGTTCTTTGGATAAATCCCTAATAGTGGGATTGCTGGATTTAAGGGTAGTTCTATTTTTAACTTTTTGAGGAAACTCCATACTGTTTTCTGGAGTGGCCTTGCATATACATTTTGAAAGCAGTATCTTAAAAAGTTATCAGTAGTGTTAGAAATTGGGCCAGTAGTCACCCTTGGACAGGAGGCAGGGGCAACAGGAACAATGTGATTAAAAAAGGGTGGCAGAACTTCTGGGGTGCTGGTAATGTTCTGTTGTTCAAATAGTGCGCTGATTTCACAGGCGTGCTCACTTTGTGAAAATTCATTGAAAAGACCGAATTCAACAAACATTTATGATCTGTACACTTTTCTGTGTTAATATACTTCAATAAAAACTTTCCATTAAAACAATCAGTAGGGGTACCTGGGTGGCTCAGTCGGTTAAGCATCTGCCTTTGGCTCAGGTCATGATCTCAGGGTCCTGGGATTGAGCCCCAAATCGGGCTCCCTGCTCAGTGGGGAGTCTGCTTCTCCCTTTCCCTCTGCCCCTCCCCCTGCTTATGCATGCTCTCTCTCTCTAATAAATAAATAAAATCTTTAAAAAAAAATGAAACAATCAGTAGATAAACAAGTTTAAGCCATTTTATAAATACTTTCACCTTCATCGTTGTTATGCCTATTTTAAACCAACCAAAACACTGACTTATGGAGTTCAGTGACCAGCTCAGCAAGAGTTAACTATAAATACTTTCCAACAGAAGTACATTAGAACACTGCCCAATTCCTGAGATTCCTGGTCACATCTCTTCTGTTCTACAGACTAGGCTATATCACATTTACATCTTCAGTTTCTCACATTTCATATTGTATTGAACATCCCCTACACTTTCATTCTGAGAGATCAAAACAAAGCTAACTACGTAACAAAGCTCCTCTTCAGAGTGGAAATGTAAGGATTGGGTGCTATAAATTTTCTCTGTGCAGGGTTAAGAAAAGGGCTCTACTGAAAATTTGCCCAAATAACCCTACATACTGCATTTTTGGTTTCCGGGACTAATGAATTCATTAAATAAATTCTAGAATAAATCTTTAAAGATAACACATGAAAAAAGGTTTTATTTTCATCTTTATTCTCATTATTTTTAGCTGGGTAGTCTCTACTTTAAACCTTATAAAATTACAAAGTGCCCTTTTAAAAAATTTATGACAATTATTTGCAGAAGCAAAATGTCCTTTCCTTGCATAATGGAAGTGATGGGAGTTGTGACACCCTAAAGATAGTTCATTCTGGGGGTCAGGTTTGGTAATAAGAGAAGCACTATTGAGAGACAACTCTTAGATGATTTTAGATTTCTCCAACCATAGTAAGCCAGCACTGGTACGGATTATACTACCCGAGAATTTGATCTGAACTCTCTAAGACAATATATTATATCTAAACAAACTTTAAACAATGGGATTAATATAAGTTGGAAAAAAACACAGGCTAATCACATAATTATAATATTAAAATTAATACATTTTAAACATACACAATACTACTGAGACTACACTTTTAAAAAAGCGAACCTTTTCAGCATTTGAGTGAAATGCAATAGCCATTTCCAGCCTATGCACTCTCTCTTCAGATGCTATTGTAAATTGTTTCCATACTCTGTTCAGTCGAGGAAGTGTGTCTCCAGATGACCGAGATGTGCAGCGCAGAGACTGACACAACACAACTGTGGCCTGTAGCAACTGTCTTCCATAGTCATAAGTGCTCTAAAAAAAAAAGTAAACATGAAATTATAGTAAAAGAATTCTGAAAAGAGAGACGGGAAAGTGTGCAGGAAGGATTGTGGTTGCAAATAAGTAACACTACTGGAAATCAATACTGAATGACTCCACTGGCACTTACTACTACAAATTAACTGCAGGCATAAAAAAGGATGGGGAAGCAATACTGTGAATTTTTTCTTTCTTGTTAGGCTTTGCTCTCTTCTTCTTTTTTTCCCCATCTCATTCTTGTCAATTTCACAGGCCAAAAAGAATCTCTGATCATTCATTAGCCAAAACAAATGGGTGAAGATGGGCTCTTTATAGGTCACTTTTTATCCCATACAGGAAACCACAATTGTTCACTGAGAACTCAGTTATTAGGGAAAATAAATTATGATACTTTTCACATACACACAAAATCTGTATTGTTAAACTAACACTGATGAGATACAGAAACTGGGGTTTCTACTATATTGATATTAACATATATTTCTTATTAACTTTCGTGAATTAACAGTTGGATTGCCTAAAAAATGGCATAATATAAAACATAAATCAGAGGGAGCATACAGAACCTGTATTCAGGAAAACATAAACCCTCTCAAGTTTATGCAGGCTACTTTGATGCACCAGCTGACATTTTCTTAGTTCTGTGATATTTCTGGAATAACATAACTAACCTTCTTGGACTTGGAGGGTTAAGTTACATTATAATCATGCAGAAAGCTATTCAAACACTGAGCTTGTAGAAAAGGAAGATAACCAGTTCTGCACCTGTGCAACATCAACAAATTTTCTATGCTTTTCCAGTAAAACTTTCGTTTCCTGAGCATCATCACCCAATCTGATGTGGGTCTTAAGCAGGGCATCCAGAAGTTCACTTAGCCATTCTACTGCCTAAATAAAAATAGAGAACAGTGAAGCTGGATCCATAACTCTTCTTATATCAAAACACCGTATTTATAAAAAGAAAAATTACTACTATATGATTAATCTATTAGTTATAACCTAAGTTCTTAATAGCTTATTTCATTTAATGAAAGCTATTATGAATTAATGACCTTTCCTCCCCCTCAAAATTTTTAAGATCTAAGGACAAGATATATTAAAGAGAAGCACTTTTTTAAAATTAATAGCACATGATTTATATTAATAGATCAAGTGTTCTCCTTAATGTCCAAGCACTGAGTATTATAGAAGACTGATGAATCACTGAAATCTACCTCTGAAACTAATAATACACTACATGTTAATTAACTGAATTTAAATAAAAAAAAAAGATTGTGTGTTTATATAATATGTATCTCAGTGGAATCTAATTACAGATTTATGTTACTATTTAAAATCATAAATTTCCTCTAGGTCAAGCTGAAATGATGTTCTCTGATGCTAACTACACAAAGACAGCATATGGCTCATCTAGTTGAAAAACCCTCTTGCAAGTTAAAAAAGCAATGTGCTATACCAGCCCTAATCCCAGCATGTAACTAACATGAAAGTCAACAATAATAAATAATAAATAATCCCAATTTCTCATTCAATAGAGGATTTCATTGAGAAGATAAGTCAAATGAGACCAGTAAAATAACTGGAAGTAAAAAAACACTTTATTATTTTAATAAGGTAACCTAGAATTTGACTTAATCCATTTACTTTCTAAGAACCATGAAAAGTACACTTTTTTTTTATAGTTAGGTGAAATCAATCTTTTAAGAGAAGACAACTACATCATGTGCCTGATTGATCTTTTACCTGGGCAGCATCTTCTTCACATTTAAACAACTGTACCATCTGAAGCATCTTTAACCTTCGCACATCTACCATGTCTTCACATCTAATAAATCCAAACATAAAGGTAGAACATCATTTCAGTTTCATTAATAACTATTTTAACAACATCTGGCACACATGTTTTGTAGTATATTAAAATACTTAATCCTATATACCATGGAGACTTCAACTACTTTGTATTGATTTGTAAGAATTTTAAGGATATCTATGTTACATCAAAATACTTCAAAACTTCAAAATACCTGAAAGACACCTAACTACAAACCCTCTTGAGGACAGAATGGATTCTGGGAAATACTGAAGCAAAGCATGAAGTAGTACACTAAAACCCAAAGAAATCTCTGTTGCCAGTTAGCATTAAACAAGCTTCGAAGATAAACAAAGTTTCTCAAATACTCATTTTGAGGATGATGCTCCAAGGAAATAAAACAAAAAAAGTTATGAGGAAGGATACTATATCATAATTAAAGAGTCTATCCAACAAGAAGATCTAACAATCCTAAATATTTATGCTCCTAATTTGGGAGAAGCCAATTATATAAACCAGTAACAAAATTAAAGAAACACATAGATAATAATACAATAATAGCAGGGGACTTCAACAGTCCACTCACTGCAATGGACAGATCATCTAAACAGAAGATCAACAAGGAAACAAGGGCTTTGAATGATACACTGGACCAGATGGACTTCAAAGATATATTCAGAGCATTCCATCCTAAAGCAATAGAATATACATTCTTCTCGAGTGCACATGGAACATTCTCCAGAACAGATCACATACTGGGTCACCAATCAGGTCTCAAATGGTACCAAGACTGGGATTATTCCCTGCATATTTTCAGACCACAATGCTTTGAAACTTGAACTTAGTTACAAGAGGAAATTTAGAAAGAACTCAAATACATGGAGGTTAAAGAGCATCCTATTAAAGAATGAATGTGTCAATCAGGAAATTAAAGAATTCAAAAAATTCAAGGAAACAAATGAAAATGAAAACAGAACTGTTTAAAACCTTTGGGATGCAGCAAAGGTGATCCTAAGAGAGAAATATATAGCAATACAAGCCTTTCTCAAGAAACAAGAAAGGACTCAAATATACAACCTAACTTTATACCTAAAGAGCTAGAGAAAGAACAGCAAATAAAACCTAAACCCAACAGGAGAAGAGACTTATCAAAAAGAAAAAAGACCCAAATGAATAAAATCATGAATGAAAGAAGAGACACCACACCAACACCAAAGAAATACAATTATAAGAACATATATGCCAACAAATTAGGCAATCTTGAAGAAATGGATGCATTCCTAGAAACGTATAAACTACCAAAACTGAAACAGGAAGAAATAGAAAACCTGAACAGACCCATAACCAGCAAGGAAATTGAAGCAGTAATCAAAAATCTCCCAACAAACAAGAGTCCAGAGCTGGATGGCTTTCCAGGGGAATTCTACCAAACATTTAAAGAAGAATGCTTATTCTTCTGAAGCTATTTCAAAAAACAGAAATGGAAGGAAAACTTCCAAACTCTTTCTATGAGGCCAGCATTACCTTGATTCCCAAACCAAAGACCCCACCAAAAAGGAGAATTACAGACTAATATCCTGATGAACATGGATGCCAAAATTCTCACCAAGATACCAGCCAGTAGTATCCAAATGTACACTAAAAGGATCATTCTGGGGCACCTGGGTGGCTCAGTCGGTTAAGCGTCTGCCTTCGGCTCAGATCATGATCCCAAGATCCTGGGATTGAGCCCCTCATCGGGCTCCCTGCTCAGTGGGGAGTCTACCTCTCTCTCTCCATCTGCCTATCCCCCAGCTCATGCTCGCTTGCTCTCTCTCAAAAATAAATAAATAAAATCTTTTAAAAAATTAAAATAAAAGGATCATTCACCACAACCAAGTGGGATTTATTCCTGGGCTGCAAGGGTGGCTCAACATCCACAAATCAATCAACGTGATACAATACATTAATAAAAAAAAAGGACAAGAACCAGATGATCCTCTCAATAGATGCAGAAAAAGCATTTGACAAAGTACAGCATCCTTTCTTGATTAAAACTCTTCACAGTGTAGGGATAGAGGGAACACACTTCAATATCATAAAAGCCATATATGAAAAACCCATAGTGAATATCATCCTAAATGGGAAAAAACTGAGAGCTTTTCCCCTAAGGTCACGAACACAGCTGGGATGTCCACTCTCACCACTGTTGTTCAACACAGTACTAGAAGTCCTAGCCTCAGCAATCAGACAACAAAAAGAAATAAAAGGCATCCAAACTGGCAAAGAAGGAGTCAAACTCTCACTTTTTTTTTTTTTAAAGATTTTATTTATTTATTTGACAGAGAGAGACATAGCGAGAGCAGGAACACAAGCAGGGGGAGTGGGAGAGGGAGAAGCAGGCTTCCCGCCGAGCAGGGAGCCCGATGTGGGACTCGATCCCAGGACCCTGGGATCATGACCTGAGCCGAAGGCAGATGCTTAACGACTGAGCCACCCAGGTGCCCTCAAACTCTCACTCTTTGCAGATGACAGATAACTCTGTGTGGAAAACCTAAAAGACTCCACCCCCAAATTGCTAGAACTCATATAGGAATTCAGCAAAGTGGCAGGATATAAAACCAATGCACAGAAATCAGCTGCATTTCTATACACTAACAATGAGACAGAAGAAAGAGAAAATAAGGAGTCAATCCCATTTAAAACTGCACCCCAAAACATAAGATACCTAGGAATAAATCTAACCAAAGAGGCAAAGAATCTGTACTCAGAAAACTATAGAATTCTCATGAAAGAAACTGAGGAAGACACAAAGAAATGGAAAAACATCCCATGTTCATAGATTGGAAGAACAAAGATTGTTAAAATGTCTATGCTACCTAGAGCAATCTATACATTCAAAGCAATCCCTATCAAAATACCATCAACATTTTTCACAGAGCTGGAACAAATGATCCTAAAATTTGTATGGAACAGAAAAGACCCCAAACAGCCAAAGGAATGTTGAAGAAGAACATCAAAGCTGGTGGCATCACAATTCCAGACTTCAACCTCTATTAGTATAAATAGTATGAGTGTAGATTAGACCTTCAAATGACTTAGCTGTCAGGAAGGAGAATTCTAGGGCTAGAAAACAAAGAAAGGGTTGAAGAGGAAAGTATATGCATGTGTGTAATTTTTTTTTTAAATAAGAGACTTAAGCATTTAAATGAGAGGCAGAGATCAGAGTAGAGAATGAGAGTAGACAGGGAAGACATGAGGGTAAACTTGGCTTATTAAGAACAGAGCTATAGCATCCTTTGTGATTAGAATAAAATAATGAAATGGGTTAAGTTTGCATGTGAGGCTAGAAGGAATTTCTGCCTAATGAGTATTTTCTCTGTGACGTAGAGATAGTTTGTGAGGTTTTGTTGATACCTTAAAATTCCTAAGTGTGCAAAAATTTCATACAACCATGCTACACTGTATATACTTTCATATATTAATTTAATCCTTTACTTTGTAATGCTCTTTCAGTTGCTACTGCAAATTGAATTTTCAAAAAATCCTTTAAATTCCTGCCTCTATACAAAATAAAACTAAATAGCCTCTTACCCAGAGTCTATCGTCTAATCCTTTCAGAGCAAATATGAGTACAAAGAATGTGTGACAATTTGTGAGTCAGAAGTTTAAATGAAGAAACTGATCTATGTACATGACACATTTAATAGCAACTCTAAACCAAATGAAAATGGAAAGGCAAAATTCTCCAAAAAGGAGAAAAAGGAGAAAAAGCATTTTCTTAAAAGATGAAAGAGTCATAGGCTATACTGGAGACATGGAATGCGAAGTACTTGGGCGCAACTGAAATTTTACCACTGAATTAAAATTAAAAAGGGGAGAAGTATCATTAGTTGAACAAATTGTCATTATTTGTTAGTACAATTATATACAATAATTACATTCACCAAAACCTACTACATGCCTACTATATTAACAGGTTACAACTTCTATTTTGTATGGAAAACAAATTATATCACTTCTCATTTTATTATGTCACTTTAGCAAAAATTAACATTAACAGTCAAACTTTGCCTTTGTTTCCTAAGCTGCATATCTTCCATCACTCCTTGTATGTGGTCCACATTTTCTTTATTTTCAATGGTTACATCCTTTCCATAGGCCCAGGATGCCTGATTGGAGATCTGATCCAGAAGTCCTTGACCTTTTTCACGCAAACCTTGTAATCCTACATCTAAAACAAAAGTTCCTGGATTTAATCTCTTAAACAAAGGAGGTGCTTTCCCTCCCTCAAGTAAATCCTCTCAGCAGATATTGTACTTGGATTCCAAGCATAACAGCTTTGTACATTAAACTATCTTGGGATGGGGTTCTCTGAACACTTCAAGCAATAAACCCCTTTAATTGTGGTTTAAATTGAGCTTCCTTCTCAAGCCAAATTCTGCCTAAAGAGAATTTCCAAAAGGTTAATTTCCATTGATGAGAATTATTTTTGAAAACTGAAAGCAGGAAGAAAGTGTGAAAATTTCTATTTTGGTTAGTAATATTTTTCAATTTGTTTCCTTTGTGCTTTTATGTAGTCCAATTTTTAGAACAAGGCAAATATTTTGTTAAAAATAACGTATAAGAGTTACAAAACCTCAAAGCATTCAAGCAATGCATTATCACTGAAAAAGGATGCTGAATATTTTGAGTTCAGGCATCTTCCAGCTTACACCTAACGAAAAGCAGTATTTAGGATAGATTTATAGTATTCCAAACCAGACAAGCACACAGGAATTCTTCTTTTCTTTTTTAAAGGAGAAGTATGGCTCTAGAAAACTTCTGATGCTTTGAAATAAATTGCATTTGGCAAATTAATTACAAGATACATATTATGCCTATGTGTTAAAATAACAAAGGCTGCTAACAAGTAAAATACCCACACAAACATGATTTTTCAAATTCTCTCAAATCCTTTTCAATAATTAATTAATTTGGTTCAATCACATGTCACCACTTTCTACTAAAACTGTCTTAGGTTTCTGCTTCCTCGCCTCCATTCCCCTTTCCCCTCCTATCCTACCCGAAACAACCCTCCGTTCCCATTTGTACATCCACTATCTCCTCTCCAGTCATGACCTAAGGAAATTCACTGTATTTCCTTCCTACTGTAGTAAAATGTAAAAGGCCTTGGTGTCAAGTGAAATGGGATCATCCTCCCCTTGGGAGAGTAGGTAACCTTGGCAATATTCCCAATTTGGAGAAACAAATGCACAGAACCAAACCAACTATTTATTCACAAGGTTAGGATATAGCAACAACAAAAATCATTGCATAAAACACAGTTTGGGGCATACAGGATTTATCACAGAACACTTCACAGCTAATTACACCTTATGCATGCACTACAAATAACTGTTCAGAGTATATGCAAGACATAGCACCTGTAGATATAGCTGGATGAAGAAGAAAGGCTAAAGGCCCAATGAAGGAAGGGTGACTGACCATCAATGAAAAATAAAAATTTTAGCACGTATTACACCCTTCAAGGGAATAAAACCTATTTTATACTAATTTTTCCTGTGTTTCCTATAAATAATTATAATTAGTTCAGTATAAGTTGACTTGTCTAACAACAGTAATGATATTTCTAAAAAAAGAACCCTTATGTTTCAGCATTTTTAAAATCTGCTTACCAACACTTTTCAGCTTCTCTTCAAGCAGTTTTAAAGTCTGCTGAATCGATGCTCCATCAGCTGGTGCTACATCTACGCACAACATCCCTAATAAGCCATCCAACTGCTGAGACAACTAAAGCAGAGGGACACCAAAGAGATAACCCTGATGTAATCAGCATCTAAAGTGTTTAATGATTAATGAGGTTTATATCTAATGAGGTTATCACAATTACACTTGAAAAAGACTATGCTGTTAAAAGACAAGGACTAATAATTAGAATACATGTTATCTGAAAAGACAGAACAAACAGATGCATGCACCAGGAAAACAAAGATTTACATCCAGGTCGGCAGAATATAAGAAAGTACTGAAACTTCCATTTCAATCTATGTTATAAAGCATAAACAGAGAAACAATCAAAATGAAATACATCTACTAGGTTGGAACACTATTTAGACAAAAAAGGTTTAGTTGCATGCAAAATGACTTAAAAATGAAAATTAAAAAAAAATCAGACTTTTATCATCTCCCCACGAGTAAATTATTTTATTGTTCCAGAAAAATAATTAGGAGACATGCAAACCTGCAAAAATTATGTGCAGATAAGTGTTCAGATCATTTGAAGAACAGAAAAGCAATCAGAGTAGACACTTACATCTTGGGCAACACCATGAAATTCAAGAGCTGCTTGTAAGAGATTCTGCCTAAATTCCAGCTGACTGGCCTGTCGATAGCAAACATCACTAAGTTGTTGCTGCAGTGACTTCAGTTCTACAAGATCTTCCTCATCGCCAGCATTTAAGAGCGCTGCAATTTGCTGATTAAGTTCCACATACACTGCAAACCATTCCTGTAACAGACGTGTTGTAAATTAAGGTTCAAATTGGCTCCTGAAGAACTACATTACATTTTATAATTCCTCCAGATAAACTAAGTAACATATATGGTAATTTTGTAAGGCAAAATTACTTAAAGTGAGGATGAGAAGTCCCCAACCCCCAAATCCTTGCACATGACCCCCAGAACTCACTCTTGTCAACGTCAATATCTATCGTGTATAGCTTCATCCTGGTCTCGAAATGTTTCCTTTCCTTTCTTGTTCTACCTGAAACCTGTCCACCCTCAGAGAAAATTATTACCAGACCATTTCTTCTCCCTTTCTCTCAAGACCCACATCTCCTTTAAAGTGCATGCTGCCGGATGACATCCTTCCAAACCTTTCCCATTAAGCACCCTCTTCCGGGGAGTTTGACAAAGGTCACGGCCCTCCTCTTTGGGCCAGCCTTCCCACCGACCCCCACCATGTACGCATCCACGCAGCACTCCTAACTCTGTCCCGATTCCCTCTCTCACTTGCAACCATCCTGTCCCCACCCTACCTCAGCTACCTACTCCAACACACGTAAATTCTTGTCATAATCATGTATTATCATACAGCTCCCAAATCTTCAAGAATCTCATTCTCCAGCCCCCAGCTACTGACTCTCTCATTCACACCCTTTAGGACACTCACCACTCCTCCAACCCTATGAGATTGCCCAATCCACTGACCTGCTGCTTCACAGTCCAGCACTGAAGAGTCTCACGCCCTCACTTCTGTCTTTGGTCAGAGGCTATAATCACCTCTCAGAGCACAACCCATGCTCATGCCCTGCTCTCTTCCTTCCATCCAATCCACCTATCAAGACCTCAGACCTAGTTTCTCTGCCTACTGTATACCTACACCAGAGAAGCAACATGGCTGGATAATAACAACAATGCAAACAGCTGTCTTTTTAAAGTTATAGTACATATAAATATATAGACTCTCTCCATATAAAAATATATAGCGTACATAAATAACCTCAAATAGGCCTTCAGCAATCCTATTACGTTTCTCTAGTCAATTCATTTTCCCACTCTCTCATGACTATTTGTTTTCTTCACTACTTAAATCTCCAACTCCCTTTCCCCCTCTTCATTCTCAGCCAAAAATCTAACTTAATTCAATAGGAAGCAATCAGAAGAGAACGCTCTCATCTTCTCACCAACAAATCTATGACCCTTCCTCTTTCTGCAGCCCTATGCTTTGCCCTCCCCACTAAAATAGCAGATGAACTGTCCCCGTTTCTCGGGCAGCCACATCACTTGCTCTATCTCTGTGCTCTTTTGCCTACACAAGGCCTTGCCCTTGCACTTATCTTCTCTCTCGCATCATCAATTCATTCTTTTCAATTGGATTATTTCCACCAGCATACAAATAAGCTGCAGTATCTTATGTTAAAAGACAAAATATACACTTAAGATGTGTATTTTATGTAATATATATTACTATATATAAATTAAACTTCAATTAAAAAAAAAAAAACTCAAGACCAAGACCATCCCTTAAAGGAGTACCCTATACAAATTCTATCTTCTATTCCCCATTCTCTTTTTAACCCATTCTAATCAGGATTTTGTCCTTCCTGCTCTTAGCAAATTCTCAGTCTTTATCTTATTTGGGCCTTTCAGTTGCGTTTCACAAAGGCAACCACTTCCTCCTTGAAATGCCTTTTTCTATTCTTCCCTCAAACACAACAGCTCTGCTGGCCCTCCTTCTGCTTCTTGACCTCTAAATTTAGGAATGACCTGGTGCTCAGCTTTCCAAAGGCTCTTTTCTTCTGAATCAATACTCTTTGGGCTTGGATGAGTTCATCTAGTCTCATGCCTTTAAATAATATCTATATGCTGATAATTCCCACATTAATATCCTCACCTTGTCCCCTTCCCTGAACCCAACAGTAATACCCAAGTGTCTTCTCACTATCTCCATTTGGATGAGTATTAGACATCTAAAATTTAACCTGTCCCCGAAGCTACTAATTCTGTAGCTCCCAAGCTGCTTCTCTCCCAGTCTTCCCCAACTTAAGAGTGGCTAAAGCCAAACACCTGATTTTTCCAAGAGCAAGTCTCCCTGGCTCAACTTCAGGAATCTGACAATTTCTCATTACATCTACTGCCTTCATTCTATTAGTCTCCTGTCTTCCTGTTTTGCTGTTTGTCCCTAGTCCTTATTTTCCATATGGTAGCCAGAGACCTTTTAAAAACATAAATCAGTGCTCTGCTCAAAAATCCCTCCAATGATTTCATGTAACATTTAAAATAAATGTCAAGGGGTGCCTGGGTGGCTCAGTCAGTTAAGCATCTGCCTTCAGCTCAGGTCATGATCCCAGGGTCCTGGGATTGAGCCCCACGTTGGGTTCCCTGCTCATCCGGGACTCTGCTTCTCCCTCTGCCTGCCGCTCCCCGCAGCAGCTTGTGCTCTGGTCTCTCTGACAAATAAATAAAATTTTAAAAAAAAATAAATGTCAACTCCCTTTTGTGGGCTAAATGGACATGATTTGGCCCCTGACTCCCTCAGAAACATTGTTTTGTGTGACTCCTTACCTTGCTCACTGCACTGCAACACCACCAACATACCTGCTGTTCCTTTACAATGGCAAGTAAGCTCCAACCTACAGTGTTTTTACTTCTGTGTCCCCAATCTGAGCTGCCTTTTGCTGAATTACTCCTTCATATCAAGGTTTCTGATTAAATGTGACCTCCTCAGGCCTTTCCTAAAGCTTTGCCTTACCTGCTCTCCACTCCCTCTTTCCCAATATGAATTTAAGTTCCATATTATAAGACAGTGGTAATATACCAAGAGCGTAGAACAACATGTGACATTTAGTAGGTGCTCAGTTAATATGTACTGAATGAACATATAAAACACTTTATGTCAGACATTGTAGATTAGCTGACATTAAATTAAGTAGGTAACAGGTACTGCTCTAAATGTGGTCTACTCTTGTGCCCTGTACCTAAAACTTGGGTTTCTTTAATTTGTCATATTGTTTTATTGCTTGAACTACTATGAAATCTCTGAATATTATTATACAGACAATGTAGTCAGATGCAGAGAAAAGAACAATGGATTTGAAAGACGAACTCAAGGTCTTTTCTCCTTACAAAGGGTGTCATCTTCATTAAGTGACTTATCTCTCAGAACCTGTTTCTTTATAGCAGTTATTTTCAACTGGGGGCTATTTTGCTTCAGAGGGAACATTTTGCAACATCCAGAGACATTTTTGGCTGTCACAACTGGGAGGGCACAATGCTGATGCATCTAGTGGGTAGAGGCCAGTGATGCAGCTAAATTATCCTATAATGCACAGGACAGCCCCTACACCAAAGATCTATCTGGCCCAAAGTATCATAGGGCCAAGATTGAGAAACCCTGTTCTGTACAACAGTAATGATATTATCTGTCTTATCTATCTTATTGGTTATTGTATAAATTAATCACATAATACTATCTGTAAAATACTTTTGAAACCATAGAGTGATTATAAAGGTTAATGGAGATGGATTTAAAGCAGAAAATACAACTTGAGAAAAATATCACAGTAGTGTTCTAAAATAGAAAGGGATTTCATAGTCTTCCCAAAGTACTTGTAAATTCAGTTAATGCTCTAAACAAATAGATCCAATTCTTTGAAGAAGTAACAGTCATGATTCAGAGAAAAATAGCAGACTAAAGGATTAGCATCCTGGGTCACTATGTTTTACAGTGAGAACTATCTATATCATATTACCAGGGGTGCTTACTAAAAATACCTAAAATCCACCCCTGATCTACTAAATCAGAGTCTGTGGGCATATGGCTCTGCAACAGGCAGTTTAACAATCACTTCAGGCGATTCCTAGGACCACTAAGGTTTAAGAACAACCATCCTAGAGCTGATTTTTTCCTAATCTGAACCTGTAAAATAAAGGCCCTAGTAACCAGGACAAGGATGCAAACAATTTAAGAACTAGTATTTTTCTTGAAATTAACACTTTAAATTAAAGAAACTCATATTAGGAACTGAGGTTGTCCTAAAGAAATAATCGGTCTCCCTGAGATGTCAGGGGAAAAAAATCTGGCACGCACAGAGACATACACACACACACACACTCTCTCTCTCTCTTCAAATTAATCAAAATGTTTCTTCCTAGGAAATAGGAGAATATAAAATTTATAGAACCTTAGGCGAACGGGCTGCATTCAGTTCAGTTTTGGCCATCCTCTGACCTACGTTTTATGAACATTTAACCGCACAGAAAAAAAAAATCAATTCCAAGACATGTAATTTAGAATTAGATGGTAGGTAAGATGAGCTTGAATGCTCACATACTAGGACAGAGGTAGTCATCAGGATTGACACTGGAATCATGTGGGAACTGGTGATGATGCACAGCTGGTGAAGTAATGGGTATTTATGCTTAAACCAAAAAACAGGAATCCCAATATAGGAGGAAAGAAACACTGCCAGCTCACTTAATTAAGGCTAGTATGTCCAATGAGATAGGTGATCATTCTTCATGTACGTCTGTTTTGCTGCTTACTATGAGGCACAACATAACAGTGTTCTCTTTGAAGACCAAAAGTCAACATTGCGAGATGGGAGATACGAATGGAATCCTAAAGCTTCAGAGATTTATACTTCTGCACATTCCTATGATGTGTTTTTCCTAACAACACCTACCTCAACCCAAAAGATAAAATAAGATTACTGAACTAAAACACTTTAAAATGTATTTTAAGTATAATCATTTTCTTATACCTTGATATTTTTTGTTGTGCTTACCTCGTATTAAAAAAACAAACTTTTTGACACTCCTTCACAAAGAACTACAATTAGTAAGATTTTCATTTTCTGTATATTAATACTAAATATTCTAATAAATTTGGGTTTTTTAGTTTTATGAATTATGCTTTTATGAAGAATCTAAAATTTAATACTTGACAGAGTGATTTAATACAAAATGGTATGTTAATTTCTACCCCTATTAAGCAATCAATACACT